TTGACCCATGCCTCCAATCCATTTTGCTCTGGTTATTTTGGAGATAAGGTTTTACAAACTACTAAGCCTGAACTGGTCTTGAAACCTTGATCCTCCCAATTCAGCCCCCAAGTAGTTGGAATTACAAGCACAAGCCACCAATGCCTAGCTTTTCCTAATTTTTAAAGTTCATTATATACCAGTTTTAACTAAAAAACCATGAAAACAATAGTGGAGTCTTTTTCTTTTTTTAAGATATGGCTGTAATGAGGCCCTTAATAAATGAACAGAATTTCGATAGTACTTCAGATTGAAGACCACAAAAGAAGCACTCCTGCCTATTCAGAAGCACTACCAACTTGATGACCAACATGGTATTTCGTAAGTATTAGCATTTACAGTCTCCTTTTTGTCTTCATTAAGTATGTATTTTGTAATCATCTACAGGAAAGGCTTGGAACATAAAGATGATTAAGCTGCAGTTTCCACCTTAAAGGAGTTTGCAATCTAGTTGGGAAGCAGTATATTTAAATGACAATGCAGTGTCTAAGAGTTACACAAGGATGCATGTCACATGCTGCGTGTCCTGAGAGAAGGGGGATTGAGAACGCAAAAGAGCGGTATGAACAAATTGTAGGAAAGACACAACTTACTGATGTGTCCTTATCATTAATGAGTTCTTATCCTGAAAGGAGTTCAGTGATTAAACAAAGTAACATGAAATTTGTTGGAAGAGAAGAGTATGAACTAAAAGATTCTAGGCAAGCAGTTTTGCCTAGTAATTCTGTGCTCTTCCTAGCTTTAATTTCTTGGTCAAGAAAAGTTTCTTCAGCTGCTACCTAGCAACTATTCTTAGGTCAGATCCCTGAGGGAATTCGTGATGTTCGGAAATTAATTGATAGTTATCTTACCTGATAACACAGGTAGTTTTAAACTTGTGCTTTTCTTTTAATTAACTTCCTCTCAGATTGATAATCATAGGCCAGGTGTTTAGTGCCCTGATTATATAGACAGTGCCAGTAAAGTGCTGTTTACCAGCCTAATCTTCCACATTGTTCTGAAGTCATAGCAGCAAATATCTTACAAGAAAATCATCATTTCGTTATCACTAATTTATTTAAAGCTGTGTGCTATTTAGAGCATCGTAGCCTTATATGTCTGTGCTTTTCAACCAGAAGCTGTATTTCCTTTCATCTGTATGCAGACACATCTAAGATAATGAGTATGGGGTGGGGTAGCGTTGCATAAGATGTAAATGTAGTCATCTGTTTAGTCATCCTTGACATTCTCGGAGTATTGGTCCCATCTCCACAGACACCAAATCTGCAGCTGCACAAGTCCCTCACACTCAGCAGTGGAGTGTTTGCGTGGTGCCACGGCACTTCCTCCTCATAAGTCAAATCATCTCTAGTTACTTGTAATGCCTGATACAGTAGATGCAATGCAAATAGTTGTTATGCTGTATTACTTAGGGAGTAATGACATGAAAACTGAATCTGAATATATCCAATACAGTGTTTTTCATATATGTTTGATTGAATCCACAAACGAGGGATCTTCATAGTACTTATGATGTGAACCTTATTAATGAGATAGGGTGGCCTTTTTTTTTTTTTGCCTAGTACCAGTGGGAAAATCAGAATAGATATAAAGAGGAAATGGAGTCAGTGGTACACTTTCAGTTATAGCCCAAGGTCTTTAATTTATTAGCAGTTTAGTTTTGGGTACAGTGCCTTTCGGTGGTCGATATCAGTAAAATAATACTGATGTTTTGTTATTTTTGTATCATGAAACATTTCTACTGGACAACAAACCATTAAAAAAAAATCTCCTATTCCAGTAGACCAGAATTCTAGTCTTGGCTCTTTTGTCATTGTTGAATGTTCTTAAAAAGAGGATGTCACTTATGATGTTTAAATAACTATGCATACTTGCAAAAGAAGGTTGGAGAGAAAGAATGGTGAAATAATGCCTTCCTCATGGTGCTATTTTGAAGATTAATGAGATACTTTACATGAGAATATAATGGAAATTCATGCAGTTATATTATAAAATAATTTGAACAGGAGCAGTCTAGTCAATTTTTCATGTATTTGAAATATCGAAATCATCGAAGCAAAATACTAGCTCCTCTGAATTCTGTAGCTAGGTAAACTTTAGCAGTAGATGAAAATTAAAATTCTGATGAAAAGGACAGATAAAGATTTATAATTTCTTGAGGCCTGTTTTTAGGAGTATATAGATCTTCACATTTTGAAAACTAATCTATCACTTCATGGCCCTGTTGTCATTAATTTCCATTTATTAGATGTTCCTTTTTAGGAGTGGTTTTGTGGACCAACTAAATGTTTTTCTTTTGTGTGTGTGTGTGTGTGTGTGTGTGTGTGTGATTAAATGACAGGTTTAAAAAGCCAGCCTTGGGTTATAGTGACACTGTGAGTCTTGCTATGGAAGCCAGCCCTTGGAGTTGTCTTCAGAAGCAAGCAGCTTGGGGAAGGTAGGCACTTGCTAAGTTTTTAATATCTAGCTGCTGAAATTTTGTTAATTTTTAAGTTTCCTAATCTGATATAAATAAAGCTGAGGGAATATAATAACTGGCCTTCAGAGTTAGACAGCCTTGGGTTCAAATCTTAACTCTATCAACTTTCTGTTTAATAGCCTTGGTCTAATTATTCATTGTTTTGGTTTGAGTATCTCACTATGAAATGAACTTACATTTCACAGAATTTTTATAATAGATTAAATAAAATGATACTTATAAAGCATCTGGTCAACCAATGAGATAATCATGTTTAATAATTTTTTAAATGAAAGGAAAAAATCAAGAAAAATGTTACAGTCTCATTATTTCAAATAAAATTGTGGTGTTTAGCTATATGTTCATAAAACCTCTGAGGTCTGTTTGTATTTTATATCTTACTGTCTTATTAGTTAGATAGCTTTCTTATTGGTAACATGGCACCTCTATGCCAGGTGAACACAGGATTTAAGAAAATTAAGAAAGCACGAATAATCAACAGAATGCTAACTGTGGTACAGATGATGTATGTGGTAGGAATTAAAGAAGAAAAAGAGCAATGTTAGTAGTTTATGATTAAATAAGGCTTTTCTGGTGATTTTCATAAATTTAGGTTTGTTCATAAGTTCATGAGGTTCCTGAGTTCTTGATATACTGAGGAGAAGGAAGGAGACAGAACCTAACACTCGGAAATAATATACACTAGGAAAAGAATCTCGGTCTTGCCTACAGAATCCAGAACCCCAAACCCCATCTTTCTTCTGCCCCAGATTAGGCAGCTTTGTTTACTTCTATAAGGAAAATGGCTTTCAGTTAGAAATGGCTGGAAACATTGTGGGTAGGACACTAAAATCAAAGGTGAAAGATGTTAAGGGAATACTAAAATACTTGAATGTAATTCATCAGAGAAACGAAACTTGAATTTATTTTAGGTATCAAGGTAACTTACAAATCATATCTCTGAAGAACCAGGGAGAGAATGGTAGCATTATGGCAGAATGAAGATAGGCCAGGGCCTTTTAATTCCTGTGAGAAGGATTATCTGTGGGTTTTGTTGACACTGATGGTCAGACAAGAGACCATTATCACTTAATGGATGCATGCCGTTGTTGCAGTCACACCTTGTCTCTGGACCAAAACAATGAAGTGTGGCTGTGTATTGATAACATGGAGGCAAATGTTGTAACTTGAGAACTGCCATCCCAAATAATGTCACTTTGACTGATAGCTTTGGTGATATTTCTTTCTCATACCTGTATAGTATTTTATATAGCTGGAGTTTCCTAGATCACTCACTAAAAATAAGAACAGAGAAAAACTAGTAAGTGATCTCTTGGTTTGATTTAAGCCATGCCCTCTTGCTCTCCGTTCTATATCCTTAGTAATGGTTTGAACAGTACCAAGCATGTGTCACACATTTGCAAATGCCATGAATAGGGATGGGGAAATACACTGCACTGACAAGAAAAAGAACTTGGGATGTAGAGGTGTGGTATTTTTTATGATTTGTTTTATAAGCAGATGTCCTCAACTGTTGAATTTCAGGAATAGGTAGTGATGTAAAAATCTTGGCTTTTTAATTTAATTGGGCATTCTTTTGCTCTATAATTCTTTTTTGTTTTGTAGTGAAAACAATAGCAAAGTTTATTAGGAAAGAAATTTACTGTAACAGGATGAAAGTAGGGAGATGTGGGGGAAAAGGAAGAAACATTTCTGTTCCTCCTTGCTCTATAATTCTAGTGGCATACTGATCATAATATATGATGTTTGCAGGAAGCAAACATTTTAAATGTTCTTTACTTAAGGAAGTAAAAACTATATCCTATCATAAAGTAGTCCATGACAAGGAGCTAAATAGCAGTCCAAAGGAGAAGTACTACACTGACATTTTACCAGTTGTTTCTGACACTTATTCGTGGATTCTCTTTATAGGAGTGTGGTTGACTTTTTTCTGGTGATAACACAGGCTGGGATTCTGCAGTGTTTATATTGTCTTCTTAGCTGAAAATGTAAAGCAAGTGAGTATTTTTCTCTAGTTAGTGAAATCATTTTCTTCTAATGCTCTGCTTACGGCATATTTCTTCTGTGGAAGCCAGGGTTAAATACTAAAATGTCTTCCTTTCATAAACGTTCTTATTTTACAGGTTTTCCTTTAGTCTTCTGTTTTGCAAGTTGGATTTCTGATACTATTTTGATTTTTCTGTTTGTTTTATGGTATCATGATGTCTGTTCTTTCAGATCAGACCATGACATGATTTGCTAATTCTTAGTGACTTGAAATTTAGCCTGGATAGTGGCCCATGTCTATGGTCACAGCACTCAGAAAACTGAGACAGGAGGATTGTGAGTTCAAGGCTACAGAGCAAGACCCAGTCCCTCAAAATAAAAATAAAATCAACCCCCCAAAATTTAGATCTCAAAAGCATATGTATAGATATTTCAGGTCGTATTCTTTACTGTGATATTCTATAGAGAGTACATGGATTATCCAGCAGCCCAAAAAAGTGAGGTTTATAAAAAGTGAGCATTTATTACTAAAATCCAGTAATTGCTGCCATTGTTTAAAAAGGTAGTATCTGAGCATTATAGTTTTCTATATTCTGTCTGTGTTAGAAGGGTTTGCTTGAAGAGGAGGTCGTTTGCAGCTTTGATGGCAAACACAGTCGACAGTCTATGTGGACAAGCGTGCAAAATACCAGACTAAAAACTCACGCCAAAACAGTCAGACATATTTCTTTATGACTGGTACTAATTCCTATTTACCCCCATCTTCTTTAACCATCTTTTCAGCCAATAACATTAATTATCCAAATACATATAGTGCAGTAAACATAGTAATAAATAAAGAATTGTCTTACAGATGTTTAATACAAGATGATGATGTAAATATGTTTTCTAAAGAACCTCAAAGTATATATAAGTATACATTTGACTCTCTTTTCTAAATACAAAGTGTGCTTCATTTTATGTTAAGACCAAGAATTGGCAAACTTTCTGTAAAATGTTAACTAAAAAGTATTTTCTGCTTTTCAGGCCATATGTTTCACACCATATGTTGCAACTACTCAACTCAGCCTTAGACAACAATATGTAAACAAATAAATGTGGCAGTATTCCAGTAAAGTTTTATTTGCAAAACCAGATGGTGGACCTTTGCCAACCCCTGATTTTGTCCATCCCTGTAGATTACACTTGAGCCACAGCTGTTTAATGTTGAAAGAGTTGGTGGAGCTGTTGTACAGAAATGAGAGGGTCTGTTAAAGGGTCACACTTAGTTGTGAGCGCTTTATTTCCACATCTCAGCATTTATAAAAGTTTTGTGTATTTCTGGAAAATTTCCCAACCCAGTTTCAGTGTCACCTGGGAAACCTTCCATAGCTGTTCCTCCATGACATCCTTTTCTTCACCTCTTCCTGGAATTTATTATTTTCTCTCACTTCTGTAAGACTCAAAAAATAACCTTGATCATACTGTATTAAAGTTAATTTATAGGTTGATTTCCACCACTAGACTCCCAAATCCTATGAGAGAAAGGACAACTTACGAAACAAACTTTTCTGGTAGAAAAATTTGTAACTTAAACTTCTGCTGATCCTTTAGGTACAGGTGTTCTCTCAGATATATGTTATTGTAGAATAGAGTGAGAGACCAGTGACAGCACGTAGAGAAGAGACATGTGAGGGGATGGAAAGAACCAGCAGTTCTGCCTGTGCTCTTGTTTATCAAATAAAGTGTCAGTGCTTCCATTAGCATTACTTGTTATAGATGATGTGCCAAAAATTGCATATCCTAGGACTCCCCGTTCCTCATAAGGATGTTGATGTCAAGTGCTGATAACATGCACCATCTTGCCAGTCATTCACATGGGACTACGATGAAGAAATGAATTTTAGGATTGTGCAAGATGGCAGCACTCCTCTGTTTCTCATGTGTGCTGAGAGTGATCAGTAAGCTCTGTTTAACCTAGGAATAATGCCTTATGATTTCATATTTGCATGCTGTGATATACAGCATTTTGATCTTTATAATTACTCTGTGAAGTACATGGTGTGCTTATTTTTATGAAGCAGTCTTACGAAACATGAGAAATATATCCTAAAGTCTGTGTAATTAGGTTGCAACCTAGGTCTTTGTCACAGTTAACATTCGCTGTGGGTGTTTTTGGAACAGAGTCTTGCTGTGGCCTTGAACTCATGATCCATCTGCTTCTGGGTTTACAGACGTTCACCACCACACCTGGCTTACCACCTAACGTGTTGTTTATCACTGGACAGAATGTTGTCTGATTTTAGGTACATGCGTGTGTGTGTGTGTGTGTGTGTGTGTGTGTGTGTAACAGAGTAAAAAACAGGAGAAAATGCCTAAAAGTTTTGGATAACTTTCTCCTATGAAATATGATCAGTTGCTTCCAAAGTTGAATGGAAAAGTTTAACTCATTTGTGCATATCTGGAAGATGGGGTAGAGAATTGATTTTCAAGTGGGGTGTGGTGGCGCATGCCTATAAAACTCAGCAATTCGGGAGGCAGAGATGGGAGGATCTGGAGTGCAAGACCAGCCCAGGCAAAAAAACCACCAAGCTGGGTGTGGTGGTACATGTCTATAATCCCAGCTGTGTGAGGGGAGGTTTGTGGTCTGACACTGGTCCTGGGCAAAATCATTAGGCCCTACCTGAGAAATAACTTAAGCAAAAAAAAAGGACTGGGGATAGGGGTCAAGGTTCAAGTGGTAGAGTGTTTGCTTGTCTAGCAAGTCCAGGCCCTGAATTCAAACTTCAGTACTGCCGAAAAAAAAGTGACTCTCTGGGAGGTAAGCAGAATGCCGGCTGTAGATAGAAAGGTGAAAGCCCTTTAGAGCCATAAAGAGCAGGCTTTGGAAAGTAGTTGAGAGCAGTGACACATCACCTGGGCAGAATAGGTGAGGTCTGAGCATCATGAAGTAGAGTGCCACTCTGCAGAGATGTGACAGTATACAGCACATTGTTAATGAAAACTCTAGGATCAAGCTGTGGGGTTGGTACTTCCCTAATATGCGTGTGACTGAAGGTGCAATATTTCCATAACCCAAAGAATTAATGGTTTAGTTGTCAGACACATGTGGAAACCTGCACTGTAGCTGATCTTGGTCCCTTTAAACCATTATGACAGATGGTGGGGGGGGAAACACTGCATTGGCGATTCTCATCTGCCATAGTTCTGGTAGCTCCTCCTTGTCTCACTCTTGAGATACTCTGGAGAAGTTCACATAGATGAGACAGTGTTTTGGCATGGAGAATGGAGATGGGGAAATGTAGTTTACATTCGCAACATTCGCAAGAGTCAGAAGATAGGAGACCAAATCCTTGCTCTCAGATTTAGCTCTCACAGTGGGTAAGACCCTTATCCCTGGCCAAGCCTCAGCTTCCTTGTTTGTAAATTAGGAATAGTAACAAAATCTTCCCTTGTTCCTGATAAACTTATTGTGAGGCTCATCTGATAAAAGATTTGTGAAAGTCTTTGTAAAACATAAAACAGTATTTAAATGTAGGGAAGTATGACATTAATTCTTTAGCTTTACCAAAGAACTTAATTTGCTTTTGGAACTTTAACCATTAAATTATAAGCCATTGAAAAGTTAAGATGTAGTAGATTTTAGTAAATTTGAAGTCTAAATGGAAAAACTGAATTTAGCAATTTTATTTTATAATATTTGTTCAGTGTACATTTTGGTAAACATGTGAGACCATAGAAGTCCTATTAGATAGCCCATCTCTGTCTCTAGAGGGCACCAAAGGACTCAAATGTTTACCTGAATCTTGCTCTAGGTATGTATCTACATTTTTATTTTATTGTAATTTTTAATCCTGAGAATTGTCATAACCATCTTTCTGCCAATGAATGCTAAAATATTATATTTATGATAGAATTAATTTTAAGTTACCAAGCACCCAGTAATTCAGACAGCCCTTTAAAAATGGTTTGTGTTACTGCCTTATTTTTTGCCAGAAATTCATGTTAGAGCTTAACTTTCACCTTTACCTAATACTGTTTTCAGAGGTACTGCTTTGATAAGAAGCCCTTGGCTCTAAACAATTTAGTGTTGCAAGAATTGAGTTAGTAATGAGCTCTCTTCTTAATGCCAAAGGATGCAAGTTGCCAATTTTGCTTCAATTCAGATAATAGAAACTAAAATATAAAGCTCTGATGCCAGTTACCAGAAAGATAATGGTGAGCTATGCATCTCTTAAACGGTGCGTGGCATAGCATGAGAGAGTGCGAGTTATAAATTGCCACATAGCTTAAAAATGTAGTCGATGAAGTCCCCACCACCTGAGTGACATTAAGCATTGCTTATCATAAATTACAAATGTACAGTAAAGTAAAGGAAACTCTTGAATTATCAACCATATCAGAGCTTTGTTTCAAAGTTCTGACTTGTTGGCCTCTTTCTCCACTCCAAGAGCGATGTGTCAGCGCAGGGCAGGTGGCACTTGCTCAGAGCACCCTCTCTATGTTGCAGAATTTGGTCAGGTTAACATGGAGCTCTCACAATTCTCAGGCCTAAGTTTGGATTCTACAACCTAGCTTGATATTACGTAAATTTTTCTACTTTCTAAGCTTCAGTTTCCTGTAGTTTAAATTGAAATTGGTACTGTAACCCACTTCTGAGAGCCATTTTGAGGATTTAATGAGGTACATATGAAGCACGTAGTTCAGTGCCTGATACATAAAAAGTGCTAAATGGTACTAGCTGTTGTGATTATAGTCAACTTGTTAAGAATCTATGTATCCAGGCTCTTGATTGTAGCAGTATATTCCAAGGAGGGTGCAGAGTGTGGGGAAAATGGGTTTTCATTGGTACTTATATTGCAGTGTGATTTCTTTGGCTGTACGTTTTAAAATTGTTTCTAAAATCTTCTATAAATTTCATCTATTTTAGTAAGTTGGATTATATGATTAATTGAATCACAGACAATTTTTAATAAGTGGAACCTGCAAATAGTAAATCTGAAAATCGGGTTATGGAAGTGGGTGAATAAGTTTTCAGACAAAGTTGGTTTATCTTGTAAAAGATTTCTACTCAAGCAGAAGTGACCTGCTGTCTAGCAAATGGCCGTGCATGAATCTGGTGGCGACTTAGAAAATATGTATTGATAGTGGTGGTAATCTATAAGCAGTTGCCTTCTGCACGGTCTTTAAACTTTGCTTTGGCTGCTATGTGTTTCGGAGAAGTACTTAGCACTCGTTTCCTACTCTGAAGAAGGTGCTGAGATCTCAGAGCAGATCTTCAAGACCTTTGCTGGGAACTTGAGCATGATAGTCACAGAGCTCCAAAGTAAATTAGTAAATCCATCGCCATAATTTCCTGTGGACTTTATTTTTACAGTACAATATAAGAAGTTATCTCCCGAAGGAGATTCTCTTACCTCAGTTATCCTTACACCTGATGTCTACATACGTAAGAGTTTCTAGGAAGCCAGAATATCTTGAAAATATGTAAATATCTTATTTATTATAGTGCATGCCCTGGGAATCTATCGTAGTGTGTATAGATTATGGGTTTCTGTGTACCTTTTATGTTTGTAAGTTGGATGTTTTCCCTGCTTCCTTACTCCTTTGCTAATCTGATACAGGTTCATGAAGGATTATTGGAAAGCAGAGTGTTTGCTTCAAATACTTCCAGTTCATCTAGTGCATGTGAGAGGAGAACTGTGGACCTGAGGATATACATGCTTTGCTTTCTTCCATTTGTAATTCTTCTGGTCTTCATTCGTGAGCTAAAGAATCTGTTTGTGCTTTCGTTTCTTGCCAACATTTCCATGGCTGTCAGTCTCGTGATAATTTACCAATATGTTGTGAGGGTAAGTACACTTTTAGCAAAATGTCACATTTAAGTAAGACTTTTGTTTACTTTAGAGGTAATAGTATGATATGTAAAGAACTGCACTGGATGTGAGGCACACAGCAGACAAGCAGTTACTGTTATCCTTGGGGGAACTTTTGACTAGAAAAGTGTGTGACAGACATGACAGGCACAGGCTTTGTACTCAGGTCTGGTTTTGACCCTTGGCAAATATGCTTCAGAATTTGGTGGTACCTGCCCACCCTGTTAGAGATGTTGTGAGATTTAGGATTGTGCTCTTAATACAGTGTTCACATGGGACAACTCATTGAGTGTATTGTTACTCATTTAAAATTTTAAAATCACATGCCAACCCAATCACAAGGGATGGATATGTATGTAATTCTGTCATTTTCTTATCACTGCCTAAGTCTGCTGCCACTCTGTGAGGCTGTGGCCCCTTCTCCTGGACTGCATGTAAAACATGCACTGATTTCATCAGCTGTGGTCTGGGATTCTTTACCCAATTGCTTTAAAAAGATTTCTTTGGATTTAGGAATTTGAAAGTCCCTTAGAATTTTTGTAAGACTTAGCATTTCCTTATGTGTATATGCATTTTCCTGCTAAGCAGTGAGAGGACTTTCGTATCTGAAAGGGGCCAATGACCCTAAAATGGTTGAGAACCCTGTTTTGTTCCCTCCTGTCTAACCCATCCTATACCTTCTTTCAAGGTAATTGTAAAATCTCTATTACAATTCATTGCAAACTCTTCTGGGGAGTCTTTTTTGTTTTTCCCATCTCTGAATTCCCAAACCTGTATTCTTTTTCATAGCACATATGAATGTAGTAAAGCAGGAAAGAAGATCACAAAAGGATTTTAGGGTCTGTGACCCTAGCTGAACGTTTAAGACTTAGTGGGACAGAAAAGGTCATTCCCATAGGGGCAGAGGGAACAGTGTGAGCTCATGCACGGGGAAGTGAAATAGCCTCATGCTCGCCTTGAATAACGGTTTAGTAATATCGGATGACCCTGGCCTTTGGGTCCCTTTCCATTCTCACACTGCCACATGTTTTCACTCATGTGTCACTAAGTCATGTCACACAGTGCTGTGTGCTTCAGGTGTACCGACCTCTATTCCCCAAATTATCCAAGGGCTTTTACACTTCGGTCTTCCCTTGGCCTTGAATTTTACTTCTGATTAGGTAAGACAGTGAACTCAAGATGGTGGGGAGTAGGGAGTAGACTTGGGGGGATTTAGAAGAAGTAGCCATTGTGGTGCTACAGATCTTGAATAAGGTGTGCTGTTTGTGAGTTTGTCTAGATTGTGAGGCTGTGAGTCGGGGCCAAGTTGTCAAAGGCAGTGTGAGGGCATATATAGATAAATACTAAGGGTAATAACTAAGGGTCATGTCAAAGAATAAACATGAAGCTGGAAGAGACCTGTTCTGGGGAGCAGCAGAGTTGTGAGGTAGAAAGCCTAGGTCAGGACCAGGTGCTGTAGAGAACCGAGGGAGCAGTGATGGAGTGGAGACAGCAGCAGCAGTGGGTACCTGAGACCTGAGCTGCTTGTGTGTTTCCTGTTATGACAGGAGCCTTGTCCAGTGCACAGCCTGGATTGCAGGTAGAACAGATAATCAGGAGCATTCAGTTAGATGGAATGTGTGGGCATGAGGGAAACAGTTGCTTTGGCAATTAATCCTAACAGCTTAGCCACATGTAACATAGGATGCTTATTGTGTTTATTGAAAGAAATGTTCACTTTGTAACCCATGTTTGCTGCTGTGAAGCCCAGGAGAACATGATTTTGCTTCCATTTTCAATTCTTAACAATAAGTAAAAATGTAACCTGTCTTTCCCCCTTCCTTTCTGCAGAACATGCCAGATCCCCACAATCTTCCAGTAGTGGCTGGTTGGAAAAAATACCCACTTTTTTTTGGTACTGCTGTATTTACCTTTGAAGGCATAGGAGTGGTAAGAATAAGTGTTTATTATTATTTAAAAAAACTCAACACCTAGGATTTGTATAGTGAAACCACATAAAAATGCATGTTCCCCTGCCTTTTTTTTTGGTGGGACTGGGATTTGAACTTGGGGCTTCATGCTTGCAAAGCAGGAGCTCTACCTCTAGTCCATTTTGCTCTGGTTATTTTGGAGATGAGATCTCAAAAACTCTTTGCCCTGTCTAACCTCAAACCGTGAGTGATCCTCCCAATCTCAGCCTCCCAAGTAGCTAGGATTACAGGCATGAGCCACAGGTACCTGACTAATGTTTCCCTTTTTTGTTTCACTTGTCTTTATTTCTAGAATGTGATTTCCAATCTGGTGTTGACAGACTTGATCATTCTTCCACTGACCAGTAGATTGCTCTTAAACATATAACTCAGGGTCTCTAATTCTTTTTCTTTATAAATAGAATAATGGTATTAGACTAGATGGTTTTTAACATTGTACTGTGGAAAATTTCAAACCTTGTCAAAATTTAAGAGTAGTATTATGGTCTTCTATGTACATAACACCCAGCTTCAAAAATTTAAGTCATGGCCAATTCAGTTTTATCCATATCCCACACATTCAAGCACATCCCAAGTGTCGTATTTTATAGGCTAGATTATTTGACAGAGTTATTGTCATATGAAAGTCAAATACAAATTCGCCCTTTAGATGTGTGCATGTCAGGCTTTCTTTTCTTTTCTTTTTTTTGAAAACATTGTTACCCCAAAGCTAATGCTAAGAGATAAAGGCATCCTAAAGCTCTTAAATATCCATTTAAGTTTCTTCCAGTTTGTATATAACTTAGAATTTGTAGATTTGGGGAAAGTAAACTATTTGAATTTACTTTGTTCCATAGTTTGATGATTTGGTATGGGAGCAAAATTGCTGTAAATACCTATCTGTCTCTCTGTCTATCTATCATCTATCTGAACCCCAGACAGAATAGATTGAAAAGATATATACCATTTGACATGGGGTTTTGCTCTCTGAGTTCTCCTGTAGAGAATTTTCACATCTATTTAATTTTAATTTTTGTGTTTAACTGGTAAGTTCCGGTATTTAGTTAACTCTTGGAAATTTCTAGTTAAGCATTGTCTTTGACATCTCAGATTCAACAACTTCAGAGTCCATCACATACATTCTTACCCAGAACCAGCTTCACTTTCTCATTGTCCTTTTTTGTTAGCTTAACTGTGCTGAAACATTGCAGTAAATCCTTCTCACTCTGTTGTTCATTCCCCATTCTGTCAGTTATTCAGGCATGCTGATTCTTCTTTCCTATTTCTCCAGTCTGTTCCAGAAAGCATATTATACATACAACACCTGCAATGCTGTGTGTCACAGAGGAGGTTCAGGAAATGTTAGTTTCCTCCCCCCTCTCTTTTCTAACAGCACTGGCACGTTCATCCCTGACGAGATCTGGAAGGTCTCCACAGAATCACCCTGCTTCTTCACTCTGTTGTGCTCTTAATAGCTAACAAGCACACCAGCACCCAGATCTGATTTTTAAGCACCATTCTCCAAAGTCAACCATACTTCTTTGGAGAAAAATGTCTGATTTAGGGTGGAAGCAAATAAGTAAGATGAATGTGGAGTTTCTTGTGCTATAAAGCGGGAAAGTGCTCCAAAACAAAAGTGGAGGCCTGTGAAAGGACACAGGAGCCTTTGTGGGAGAATTCACAGTGCTGCACAATAGGAATAAAAGAGTATCGGGTGTTAGCCTGATGTGTAAAACAGATCCATGCAAGTCCATGCTAACATACACAAACACATGGGAAAGACTCCCAAGTAGTTCATGTAGAGCTGGAAAAGAGGAAACTCTTTTGGGGAGTTCATTCCCCCTTAGTCCTTGAAATATGGGCTGGATTTAGAGACTCACTTTCAATAAAGAGAGTATGAGGAGGGAAAAGAAAAGTAGCTTTACAACAGAGAATCCTGGGAAACAGCTAGGTAGGTTGCCATCAGGATAACATGTCTGATGAGAAGAGCGCTTCCTCTCTGTGGTGTCCTCTAAAACCTGTAATACCAGTCTAATGACTAGGAAAGTGTAGACAAACCCACGTTAGAAACGTAATGTAAAACAACTAATACTGCTCCAAAAATGTCAAGATAATGAAGAACAAGGAAGGATTGAGAAACTCATAGACCAGAGGAGACTAAGGAAGCAAGGTGATTTTTCTGCATGAGAGCCTGAAACAGAGAAAAGGCATTAGTGGAAAACTAATGAAATTCAAATGAAGTTTGGAGTTCAGTTACCAGTCATGCCAGGGTAATAGGAAAGGTTAACAGCAGGAAAGCTGTGTCGGGTGTGTATGAGGTTTCTGTGTCTTCTTTGCAACTTCTTTGTAAATGTAACTTACTCTAAAATAAAAAGGTTACTTAAAAAACTGATAAGTTTGTCTGCTAAGAGCAGGTTTTCAAATCTTCTTAAGAATTAAAAGTATGTAGTATAAAAACACATAGCACATAGAAAAATACCTAACAATTATATGTGTCGTCTTCAAAGAAAAAATTTGTATATAGACCAATTTGTATATATGAGATGCTGTTATTTTGAGATATTTGTATTCTGTGTCCTTCAAAAAATAATTTCATCCTATTTTTAGGTCCTTCCATTGGAAAACCAAATGAAAGAATCAAAACGCTTTCCTCAAGCATTGAGCATCGGCATGGGGATTGTCACAGCTTTGTACGTTACCTTGGCTGCTTTAGGATACATGTGTTTTCGTGATGAGATCAAAGGCAGTATAACTTTAAATCTTCCCCAGGATGTGTGGTAGGTGAATATAAGTTTGTGAATTCTAGTTCACATATTTTACAGATAGACCAATATTTGATGGGTGTATGATTTAAACATTTAAAGTTTTTAGTGTTTGTGTAACCTAGAGTTTTTTCATAATTCTCAGAGGAGACCATTTATGAATCCTTTTGGGATTCTTTTAAAAAAGGATTTAAAAATTGTAAGTCACTCTAAATTTGAGGCAAGTGTAGAAGCAGACCATGGGTTCATCCAATATGAAGACACTTTAATAAAAATATTAGTAACTTCCTTTGCTACCAAAAAACCAAACACTGTGCATTTCTAATAAAATAAACTATCCCATAATTTTATGGTCGTTCCTCTTTTACTGGTGAACTTTATATTGTTTGTACCTCAAGTCCTTTAAGAGTCTAGTTGGGGCTCACTCTAAATGATGAAATGATATACCTGAGTGTTTTCTTTAATATTAAAGCTATTGCTATGCTGAACAAAGCAATTTATATGGTTTTTCCTTCTTCCAGAGGTTGTTCCTTGGAAACTTTAAAAAGATGTTGTCCGTGACTATTACTTTACTTATAAAATGAAATGGAATGCCTTAGATTTGATAAATGCAAAGAACAAATGCTGAATTGATTACTTAATTAGATAGCACTACTCCTTTAGCTACTTGGATAGAAGACTGAAACCTAGATAAAGCCAGCAAGAGCTGAAATGGTATCTCCAGTGCTTCCTGATGAGGGTTTACCACTTACTCATCATTCAAGCCCTGGAGTCAATTAGAAGAAATTGCGTAAGAAGCCATTTATGACACAGGGAATGTGATTGGGGTGGTTTCTGCTTATATAGGGGCACGTGTGAAGTATGCTTATCTTTTTATAAAATAAGAGTTTTCTTTTAGCTGACATTTTATAAATGTATTTCATTTATTATAAAATGGAGACATGTTTCAAATGTTATAAATATGGTACAAGCTGGAGTCATTGCTATAAATAAGACATAGTTGTTTAGCAGCCATTTCATTAACCCATGTCATTCATTATATCATTTTGTATCCTTCAAATGTGCTTTTTTTCCTCTTTATAATATGAACAAGAAGCTTAGGAAGGACTAGACGCTTTAATCAACAATTTAGTATAAGAGTGATGGCTAAGAAATGTAGTGTAGCTCATCTTTTTGAATACTGTGCAGACATAATATCATTTAGACTGAATCTTAAAAAGCATGCTAAATTTGACAAGTATTTTGTTACTTTGGTTTTTTGATCGACAGTACTTTTATGTATGTATGAAGTACAATGTGATGTCCTGATGGATTACACACACATGAGGCAGTGGTCAACTAAGGTTAATTACAAATTTATCACCTTAAACCTTCATTATTCTCCATGCTTGTACATTCAGATTTTTTTGCTTGAAACTATTTTGAGATAATGCATGATTATTAATTATACTCACTCTCTGTGATTGTTAGTTTCATTGGGTTCGTAAGGCACACCTTGGGTGTTCCCAGAGAGATTAGCTCGTGAGGGCTCTGACCTAATCAGTGGATCTGTCCCTTGATGGATGCATACAGTGATGGCATCATGGGGTTGTAAAAGGTAGGAGATAGGGCCTAGTTGGAGGAAGTAGGTCGCTGATGGCCTGACCCCTCTTGCACCCCCTTTGCTCTGCTTCCCGCCTGCCATGATACAATCTGTCCCGACCATGAGCTAAAATAAATCTCCCTTTACGTTGTCTCTCAGGTATTGTGATCATAGTGATGCAGAAGCCCGACTAATACATCCTGCTATGCCATAGACCACCAGAGCTTACTCTCTAGCAAGCAGTAACATTACACCCATTGACTGCCTTCCTCATCCAGCTCCCCTGTTCTTCTCAGTAGTCTACTCTCCACTCTGTGAGATCAGTTGTTTAGATCCCGTTACCAGTGAGGTCATTCAGTATTTTTCTTTCTGTACCTCTTATTTAACATACTGTCTTCCAGGTCCATGCTTGTCATGATTGACAGGATTTCATGCTTTTTATGCTAAATAGTATCATATTAAGTATGTGTACGATAGCACGTTTTCTTTATGCATTTGTCTGTTGATGACCATTGATTCCACATCCTGGCTACTGTGAATAGTGCTAAAATGAACATGGGAGAGCAGGTATCTTTTTGATGTATCAAGCACTGGATTGCTGGTTTGCACAGTAGTTGTATTTTTGTTTTTTGGGGGAACTTTGAGCTGTTTTCCATAGTGGCTGCCAGTGTTGTGCAGATTCTTGCCAGCACTTCTCATCTTTTGGTAATAGCCACTGTAAGTGGAGTAAGGTGGTATAATCTCACTGAGCATTTTCTTTTTTTTTTTTTATTTAGAGAATACTTTATTAGTTTTCTGTAATCAAACCCACGTAGATAAGACCTTACATATTTAATACAGTGCGTTACCCCTGTAGAGCATTTTCTTCATATATCTGTTGGCCATTTGTATGTATTCTTTTAAGAAAATTGACAGGCTTAAAAAAATTTTTTGGCTGTAATGTGATGAACTCAGTGCCCAGTGCTTGCTAGGCAGGTGCTCTACCACTTTATCCATGTCCCCAACCTTTTTTGCTTCAGTTATTTTTCAGATAGAGTCTTGTGCTTTTGCCCAGGCCAGCCTGGACCATGATTCCAGTGTTTAAGTCCTCCTATGTAGATGAGATTACAGGCACACACCGTGACATCTGGATTATTTGTTGAGATGGGGTCTCAATAGCGTTTTGCTTGGCTGTCCTCAAATTGCAATCCTCCCAGTTTGCACCTCCTAAGAACCAGGGATTACAGGCATGAGTCATTGTGCCAAGCCCTAAACAGGCGTTTTTAATGTCAAATATAAAATGTAGGTAGAAACAATCTCGCAATTTTTTGTTTCTCTTATTCTCAAAAGCATTTAAGGAAAATCTTATCAGAGAAGGGACTGAAGTGGAAGTATGGACCCATTCAAGTTAAGATATTTTTATCCCCAGACAGCTAAAAACATGAAGGAGCAGTGGACAAGAATAGGGGGAGTTCAGTCTTGAGGTAACACGGTCCCTGCAGTAGCTCCAAGTGGCCCATCTCTTTGCCGCAGCCCCTCCGCACCTCTCACCTCCTCTCTGGTCCTCTGAATCTCCTGTTAGAATGGAATTAGCTGTGCTCTCAATTACAAGGAGACTGTTAGGCCATAGTTGCACTCAAGGAAAGTCTAGCAAGTCTCCTGATTTTTCATCTAGAAAAAAGCCTACAAATATTATTGTAAGAAATAATAAAAGCCTGGGGCAAACGGGAAAGCAAGTCAAGATAAATACTTCCTTTCAGAGAACTTCTGTTCGCTAATTGCTGTTCATTACTTCACGATGGAGATAGGCTTTGTGTGGCTTGCAGTTGTGGGACTGTTAATATTCACCTGAGGACAACACAGTCGTGGCTGCACTGGAGTAGAGTGCAGATTCTTGTAGTTACAGCCTTCTATAACGCGAGAGTGACTACAGTGACCCTGGGGTACTGTCTGAGATTCTTTTCATAATATGCTTCCTGCCTTCTCTTTCCGTGTTTAATTGAAGCGGCCATGGAAGGCACAGTGTACCACTGAGTGTGAAAGAGGATGGCCGTCACCAGAGCGACCGAGGGAACTAATGTTAAGAGACGCCAAACAGCTTTTGAGGCCAAACTGATTGACAGTCTGCATCTGTAAGGGTTTTCTTCAAGAAAGATTGAATTGGAGAGAAACACTAGGGTAAAGGAAGTGTGGCTTAGAGAAGCTCCAAGTTATTGATATTCTCAATCTCTCTGACATATCTCTTTAAAAAACTTTATGAGCAACACTGTTCAACGTAATAAATTTGGCATGTGAAGTGAAGAGTGTGATTTAAAGGTGATAATGAGGCAAATTCATGATTCTGAGCTAGATAGAACCTTAGCGTGCGAGGATGGGCTCTGCACCTTCCAGGTCTGTGTTCCCCATCGTCCTGCCATCTAGACAATGACTCACACCCGGGAGGCACTTGGTGCAGAATTACTGAATACTGTTCAGGTTTAAAAGCACTTCCCATGTGAACAAGACACCACCTCTAGTCCTAATCAAGTAGTGTTTTAGCAGTGTTTTTCCAAGTTTCTCTGTAAAGTAACTTACTTTCTGTTTTAAAAATACCTCAGATAATAAACTTATAAAGTGAAAAAGTAAGAAAAATCTATTTGGCTTTCAGTTTTAGAAATTTCCGTCCACGAGTAATTGGCTCTGTTGCTTTGAACCTGTGTTGAGGCAACACATCATGATGAGAGACAGCAAAGCGAAGCCACCCACTCACCTCACGGCCCAGCAGTGGGAAAGTTGAAGAGGAAGGGGCTGTGTTCCTCTGCCTCTTCAAAGGCAGCCTCCCCCCATGTCCTGAAGACCTCCCACAAGACCCCACCTCTTACAGGTTTCACAGCCTCCTAAAAGTCCAAGCTGGGGACTAAGCTTTACTACATGGGCCTCTGGGGCACACTTACCAAAGTATAGCAGTAACCGAAATAGAGGAAAGAAAAAGGCAGTTCCCTGGGGGCAGTACCACAAATGGCCTACTTTCAGCACAGCATCAGTTTGTGCTCTACTGTTAAACACTGCACCTTTTAGGCTGGATGTGGTGGCTCACATCTGTAATCCCAGCTACTTGGGAGATGAAGATTGAGAGGGTGTGCTGCCAGCCTGGCAAAAAGTTAGCAAGACACCATCTCAACATAAAAGCTCCATGTGGTAGTTCATTCCTATAATCCCAGTTACACAGAAGGCATAAATAGGAGGATCACTGTCCAGAATACCCCAGGCAAAAACAGGAGACCCTGTCTTTAAGCTAAAAGTGCTGGGAGCATGTCGTAAGCAGAAGGAATAGCAAATAGCATTTGTGTTCTGTCTTAAGGAGGCCTCTCAGGTGATGACATACCTCATAGGAGCAGAGACTTTTCTTTGTTTCTTTTTGTTGTAGTTTCATTTTTCACTTTCGTTTTGTGCTTCCCCCACCCCTGTACGGGAGGGAGGAACTGAGGACCTCATGCTTTCTACACTGGTGCTCTACCACTTGAGCCACTCCGAGAGCCCTTTTTATGTTGGTCGCTTTTGGGATAGGGCCTCCCTTTATGACCTTGATCCTCCTATTTGTGCTTTCTGCTAGCTGGGTAACAGGTGGGCAGCACCACACCAGCTGTTGTTGAGATGGGGGCTCAAGAACTTTTTGCCTGGACTGGCAGGGAGCTGTAATCCTCTGATTTTCTTCCTCCCCAGGAGCTAGAATTACAGGTGAAGCCACTGAGCATGGCTTTTTTCTTTTCCTTCTTTTTTTTTCTTTTCACCAGTCAAAAACAAGATCCATTCTTTTTACCTTTTCCCATCACAATTACTTTGCCTACTTATTTGGTTTTAGTCAGTGGCTTTTTGAACTGCAACCCATAGTAAGAAAGGAAGATAAGTTTTATAGAAAAACCCAGTGTGTCTGTGTCTGAGTTTCTGTGTTTTGCGTTCACACATAAAATAACTGAAATAAGTGAAAGGTTAAATAAAAATCATTCTGGTGTTTTCTGTCCCCAGCTATAGCATTAGGAAAAACTCCTCACAGCCTATGGATTGGTATCCTAACACATGACTGTGTGAGCTAGAATTTGAAAAGTACTGGCTTGGAATATGTTCACATGCTAAATCAATTGACCACCCGTAAACTCTACTAGTGAATATGAAAGGCTTAGGTTTTCATGCTGAGAGGCAGTAAGTGACTGCCTTTGTCTGGTGTGGCATTCTTTGTGAAATGTGCATTGGGCAGGAAAAGAGGCGATGGGGTAGTAGGCATTTTATAATTTGTTAAAATAATTGTACTAGGACTTCATTTTTTAAATCCTTAAACAGGATAGAGCCCAAGTCTGAGTCCCTATCTGTAGCCTGCTAGAGCTCGGAGTCTGAACAGTGTGGGAAAAAACTGATGTGTAGTGGCAAGAAATCCAGCTGCCTTCCGTGATGTCCTGGTAGTCAGTGGGCCAAGCTCAAGGAGGTTGGCACCTACGTGAAGGTATTTAGGAAAGAGTGGATTCACCAAGAGGCACCAAATCAGTCAGTCAGTAATAACTATCTAAGTAAATGTGAGGACACTGAAAAAGAAGATTCGTATATCCTCACAACCTCTTAGTAATCAACTTCTGATATTAAAGTTGCCTGTAATGGGGGATCTGGCCAAACTGCCTCTGGTATGAAGATGGCTGATGAATTATGTTAGATTTGAAATGAAGGGTGTCTACCAAAGTCATTTATTAATCCAACAGGTATTTACTGCATGCTGAGTATGTCCCAAGTTCTCTTCACTCTAGAGATACCGAGGGAACAGATAAAAGCCTTGTAAAGCTTATGTTCTAGAGAACATGTTGAAGATGGTTACTGGATTATAGCTAGTCCTCCGTTGGTGTAACTTTTCCTCTTGACAGAGCTAAGCTGTCAAGATTCTCAACCTGACTATGATGAAAGAACAAAGAGGGAAAGTGAGTTATCAAGTATTTCAAGGCTAACTTCTGTATTCAACCTTGAGAGAAAGAATCAGCCAACAACCGATTTCCCAAGTTGGTTTTTTAAATGTAAGGTCCATATGATTAATTAACGTTAATATGTGTCACCTACTAAATGCATTGCAGCCTATATAGAGAAGACCAAAACAGTCTCAAGTCTTAGGAACTTTGGAAGTGAGCTTCAAAAAGCAATGCAATTCTTTTAAATTAATAATAAATTAATGAGAGCATTCATTTAATTCTCTGCATTGCATATCAGAGCCTGTGAACCAGCAATCTTTTGGTTTTAGTTTGTATATTTTCAATAACTTGAATTTAGAGTTATTTAACTTTTAAGCCTCAAGCTGAGAAATGCATCCTTAGCTAATTTAAAATTAAGATTTATTTTTGATAGCCTAAAGAATTGCTGTATTTCTACTAAGCCTTATTTCTTCTCATGTCTATGATTACTATTGTTACAAAAGGAAACTTACTGATTCCTTCTTGCTTGGCCATCAATTAGAGAACTGGTTATAATCCTTACTGCTTTAAGTTTTTATTGTTGCATTTATTAAAGTGAAGCTGTTAAATTACATATTTTATTATTTTAAAAACAATTTTATTCACCTAGTTGTGTGTAGATGACACAGGACAACTTATTTAAAACATAATCCTGTAGTGAATTTTTGTAATGACTAAACTATCCCTTGATTTATTGTTTTTGTTCATTTGAGTTTTATATGTTTGGTTTGGTGAAAGTATACTAATAACATCAAATATTGAGCCTTTTCTGTAACAAAGATTTGTTGCTTATATAATGGTTTTACAGAATGGATGTATCTCACTGTAATTACACTATTACATGACTTAAAAGTGTCTGATGATAGAATTAAGCGTGTAAATACTACAGTTACACAGTGTTCCTCCAGATGGTTTCCAATGTTATTTCTCTTAATTTACTACTGATAGCTTGGATTATTGAAAAGATCACTGAGAAAAACTAGATTCCAAATGGAAAGTTGTTTTGGATGGTGAGGTTCTGGTTATGTTTATCTGGCCTTATCTGACTTTTAGCCGTATAGGTATGAAGTTAGATTTGTAATTTCAAACAGTTTTATGACTAGCTTCCAAAACAATTTGAACAGAAAATGGTAAGTAATAGCTTCAGTTTCTATGAAAAATACAGTGGTAACTTAGTTCCAAATTAATCCTACATCCTCTTGAAAAACAGGAGAGTTACAAGGAGAAGGGATTAAAAAACTCATGAACAAAAATTAACAAATAGAGAAACCAGTAGACTGCAAATCAAGATTAAATTACAAAAAGGACAAATTAAACTGTATGTATAGGTAGACATATAGATACTCACAGAATGTTTAGTAAAAGACAAAGAAGGTAGAAGTGTTGAGAAACAAAAGGAAATGGACTTAGAAATACAGAGCAGGATAACAAGGATTAGAGAGAAAATGGTAGCAATGGGAGACAGCATGGACAGCTGCCAGCTGCGTAATTGGACGTCAGAGAAGCAGCATGGTGGCAGGATTATGTCTGGAGGCACCGGTAATGTCCACAGCTTCCAGAGGAACAACTCCAAACCCTCAGTAAACCACTCAGCAGATGATTTAAGGATGAATTGAAGAAAGAATATAAGACTAGGTTTTTGCACATCTGCTGTGGGTACCTTTTGGTAAGATCAAGATACCATCAAGAAAGCAGCAGATTAAAACTTACAGAAAACTTGTGAATGACTTGGAAAGATAATCCTGCTCACAATACTGGAGTATGCCATTAGGTAGGAGGAGTAAATTCTCATGTTCTATGGTACAGTAAAGTGACTGTAGTTTATAACAACTCACATAGTTCATGAAGAGCTAGAAAAGAGGGTTTGGAAGGCTCCAAACACAAAGAAATTCTAATATTACTTTTTAAGCACAACTTGACTTACTGAAAAAAATCACTTCAATTTGAAGTAATTTAGATAGGAAAGTTGTCAAATTAAGTAGAGTTACTATAAACCCTTTACTTAACTTCCTCTGATGTTAACAGGTGTACAACCATAATGCAGTTACTAAAACCAGGATAATAGCATGGATACAGTGCTACAATTTATAGACCTTACTGTAGTTTTGCCAGTAATAGCCTTTTCTGGTCCAGGAGTGAATCTGAGGTTCCACTTTAATTTAGTTGTCATGTCTTCTTAGTTTTTTCTAATCTTGATAGTCCTTGCCTTTTTGGATCTTGATGCTTTTGAAATGCCAGTAGTTTCTGTAGAATTTCCTTCAGATTGGATTTTTCTGGTGCTTTCTTGTGATTGAAATTAAGCTTTTTTTTTTTTCTTCCTTTTTTGAGACAGAGTCTAACTGTATATTCCAGGCTGGCCTCAAACTTGTGGTCCTTTTGTGTTATCCTCCCAAGTACTGGGATTACAGATGTACAGCACCACACTGGTTTAAAGTTAGGCACGTTTAGCAAAAATACCACAAGACTGATGCTAGGTACTACATCCCAGTACCTCTATCTCTTATTGGTTGTTAGCTTTGATAACTTGGTTAAGGTGGTCTCTGACATATTTCTGTACTCCAAAGAACTGTTTTCCTTTTATCATTATGTGTTAGGGAAGATACTTTTAGAGTTTATAAATATCCTTATTCAGTTTTTTTTTCATCGTAAGGTTGGAGATCCAATCCAGGTCCTTGGGCATGCTAGGCAAGTGCTATACCACTGAACCACATCTTAGGCCTTTGACTTTTTGGAGACAGCAACTTGCTGTGTAGCCCAAGCTGGCCTTGACTAGCAGTCCTCCTGCTTTAGTCTCTCTAGTGCTAGGCTTGAAGTTGTGCACCACCATATCTAACTCATCCAATTTTTGACCACAAGTTTTAGTCTCCTTCAGCAACTCTTCTTGCTCAGTGATTATAGTGGTGTTTGCATAACTGTGATTTGCTGTTTCCATTGTTGCTTTTATATCAGTTAATTGGAATTCTATTGCAAACTATCTCTTACTTACTCAAACCATACCACCTGTTTTGTGTATTGTAGAATGAGCTGTGTAGGAGGCAGAATAATGGAAATGCTTTGGAAATAAACTACATGACTTACAGTGGAAAAATAAAGTTAAACTGTTCACAAGTGACAGTCCAGGAAAGATCACTCTCTGTTCTAGTTTGTTTTCTTCCATCACTCAGAGCAAAATATTTTTCCACAAGGAGTAGTTTAGAATCTGACTTCTGTTAATTACATTTACTGTATCGAAAAGATGTACATTTAGTATTCATGTAAGTGCCAAACATTTAAATTTAGAAGAGCATGTATTTCTGTTTTCTAGGTGCTGGAGCAATTCTCATTCCTCGTTTAGACATTGTGATTTCCTTTGTTGGAGCTGTGAGCAGCAGCACGTTGGCCCTGATCCTACCACCTCTGGTTGAAATCCTTACATTTTGAAAGGAGCATTACAACATATGGATGGTCCTGAAAAATATTTCTATAGCATTCACTGGAGTTGTTGGCTTCTTGCTAGGTACATACATAACTGTTGAAGAAATTATTTATCCTAGTCCTAAGGTTGCATCTGGCACTCAACCAAGCCCTCCTCCAAATACGACTTCAACATGCTTAGCCTCTGGCTTGAGGTAGAAGAAGCAGAGCTCTGAGTCCTCTGTTAGTATCTCAGTTCCTGAAAATTGTTAAAAGAAGAGCCAGAAAATACATCGCCGTTTCTTAAAAATAGTGCCGAGTACACTGTTGGGTTGGTAGAAACATTCAGACTGGACAGTAAACTAACTCACAGCAGTGCTGTACCGTTAGAGACCCTTGGTTTTATGCATTAGGTATATAGTTTTTAAAAATTCATTTTTAAATTTCAAATATAAAAAAAATTAAAGAATAAAAGCACTCTGTTATTCTTCATATAAACACTTTAACCCAAATTTACCTCTCTTCTCCCTGTGTTCTTCTTTTGCTGCCGAGTTGAGAAGGTACAGGATTTCAACTATAAGGGAATTAAATAAGGCTATATAAATATACAATTTCTCCAGACCATCCAAGTGAATTCAAAGTAGACTTTATGTATAATATAAAGTGCATTTATTATGTTTTTATTAGATAAACATACTTATTATTAGCTGCAGCAAGTGTAGAAAACTCCAACTAACCATAATACAAGCATCAGAAAATCCTCCAACTCAGAATGATTTTAATGCTGCACTGTGATGGTAATTGTTGTTCATACCATTCGAGAAGCACTAGGCCAGATTCTGACTTAGTGTTTCAGTCAAATTTGACAGGCCTTTGAAGTTTATCCAGTACAACCATCTTATTTGCCGTTGGAGGAAATAGTCTCAGAAAGGTGAAGTAACTTGTTCAAGACCACTCAGCCTTGAGATCAAGAAAACCTGATCTGATTCCCAGGCCAAGAATTTGTTTTTCACATCACATCGAAGAAGAATCAATTATGTTCTGTTTTAGTGTTGAGTCTATTTAATTCTGTTTGTAATAATTTTGCACTATGGCTTCATAAACCTCAGAAAGGAAAGAAGTAGTTGTCTTTGAAACAGAATGGAGATACTCATTGGTGTAACTGCTGGCTGGTAGAACAAGCCCAGTTACAGTGTTTATGACTTGAGTTCTCCTTGAGTTTCTTAACTTTCCTTGGTTTTGTAGGCAGAAAATAGTTATTTTGACAAAATATGTGATTTGTGGACTCTTTCCAACCTTGTGGCTTTCCTAACCACAGTCTTTTACTGATCTGGATGTGCAGGATAAAAGAACTATGAAATGCATGCTTAGGTTCTTTCCTAAACAACAACAAACTTTATTTTTTTTTAATTTAATTTTATTTTTTCATTTTTATTTTATTTATTTTTTTCTTTTATTATTCATATGTGCATACAAGGCTTGGGACATTTCTCCCCCCTGCCCCCACCCCCTCCCTTACCACCCACTCCGCCCCCTCCCTCTCCCCCCCCCACCCCCTCAATACCCATCAGAAACTATTTTGCCCTTATTTCTAATTTTGTTGTAGAGAGTATAAGCCATAATAGGAAGGAACAACAACCAACTTTCTAATAAATATTGAGACACTCCAGGCATCTTCCAGAGAAGTACCTGCTATCACTCCATATTTTTCAAGCACACAAATCTCATTTGATGGGGAAGCTGAAAAATTACTAAGCTTTTAAAGCATTCAGAATAGGATTGTCTCCTGATAATCTAAAAAGATTCACACTTTAAATCATGAACTTTTTAATCAGCTTGATATAGTATTCTAATATATAATTCTATGAGATGCCATTAAGCTCACTGTATATATTCTCTATTTTTGTATGTAAATGTTATTCAGGTATTTTTTTGCTTACATTATTAACTGGTCATCAAATATGAGCCTACAGATACATCAGAAGCTTTATTTTGGTACAAATTCATAAGAATACATTTTTGAACACATATTAGGTATTAATAATTGTCATAATTTTATATTAAATTTGTTACATTGAGCCTTTAGCACACTAGGAGAATGTGAAAGAGGTCATAGGAAAAGTAGTCTCCATTGTACTAAGTTATATAGTGTTGAATCCAAGAATGAAGTAGACATTTAAAAATTTATAACTTGGTATAAAATGAGTTGAAATCATTACTTAATAGAAAGCAGTATTAGGTTTTGTCACCTGTCTTATATGGTATGGCTAGTCTGTGCACAGTTTTATCTTTGTACCTATTTATTTCCTTATGGAATTAAATGCAATTAAATTTTGAATAGTTTATCATAGCAATAAGTAATTGGTAAATTCAGTGCAAACACATCTTGAACATTATTGTCAAGGAGGCTTTCTTATTCAGTGAGAAGGCTGAATCAACATCCAGTATCAAAGTCACTCAGTTACAAAACCTTAAATACAAGAAAACAGTTGAAATGCAGAAAGGAAGAAAGGCTAAAAAAGGAGAAAGTTTTAATCCTTAACAAGAAACATTATTTAGAGGCAAAGTGTAAGTGCACTCTTACTAAGGACTTTTGACAATATTTTATCATTGGAGAATTTTTTCTCTGATACTTAGTTTTAATGAGTCTAACATCCTCTACAGATACTTTGATTCTGCCGGCTGTTGCTTTTGTTCTGAAGCCTGGAGAAATGAGAGCAATTACACCTGTCAAATTCCGTATCTGCCATCGTTTGATCCATCACATTGTCACTAAGATGACTTCAGCATTTCTCTGTTACCACCATGAAGACTCTTGTGAAAGGTGAACCTTGTCTGAGAGCCACCTGCGTGGGTGAGTGAAGAAAAGCTGTGTTACCTGTGATGAGCTGTCACAAACCAGTTCCCTCTGTTCCCTTACCCAAAAGAGTTGTCAGCATTCCAGTCAACTTGTTGGTGCACTGGTTCCCAGATTTGCTGTCAGAGGATCTTTTCCTCACATGGCCAGATTTCTTCACAATTCAGGAAATAAAAATTAGGGATTTTTTTTTGTTGTTGGTTAAAGACCAGTTTACATGGTATTTGCAAAAGGAAGCAAGTACTGTATTAGCAAATGCCACATTATGCTTTAGTTCTGCCTTATGGGATTCTTTATTAAAACCATTTCCAATTCTTTCAGACAACACAGTGCATTTTTACAAGCAGCTATGATAGTGTATGTGCTGTAAATTTTGTAACAGGGTTTGATTTTACTCAGTATTTTCATAATAGTTATTCTTCAAAGTACTGTAAGATGCTAAAGTTCTATGTAAATGCCATTTTTAGAGGTGGAAAAGCATAGGTCTTACCATACCTTAATGGTCACATCTCACGTCTTTGCCATAGAGTCAACACAGCATCTGAGTAGTGCATTTGTTTACTGACAGCATGTACCCTAAAAATGTCATCTTGTCCTCGCTTCTTATTCTTCATTTAAGAGGGAGGACATAGGAATAGAGCTATGGAAATAATAAATAAAATTATTTAAATAATACCAGTGGCTCAATAAAGACTGTCTGTTGAGAAACACAGTAACATCGTAAAAACGTGCAGTGTTGACAATGTAAAATAAGTTTTTAAAATGGGGTTTAAATTTTTTAATTTATTTTTACTTTTATTACTATTATTTTTTATGAAGACTTGCTAGGCAGGTGCTCTACCTCTTGAGCCATACTGCTAGCCCTTTGTTTGTCTGTTTGTTGTTAGATAGGGTCTTGCTTTTTTCTCTGGCTTGCCTGGGACCATAATCATCCTGCCTGTGTCTTCTGAGTAGCTGGGATTACAGATGTACACCACCAGGCCTGGCTGAAAAGTGGGTTTATTTTAGTCACTTTAATTCAACTAGCTTCCCCTTCCTAAGAAAACTGGAGAAAGTGATCTAATAGGTAAAATAGGGTATCTTCTAACACTAAATGGCTGAATAGTTAATACTTTGCCAGAATTGTTTCTTGTAATATGTGCTAGCCACACACCATTCTGAAACTGGTTAGTTTTGATCTAAGAGATTAAAAAATAGGATTAAGAAATGGTATTTATTGCCCTATGAATAGTAAAATGATAGAGTACTCTGATCCTTCATATTTCTTATTAAAATTGGCTACTTTGTACTTGCACATGTGCATACACACACATGAAATAGAAATACTAATTTGCTATTTAAACTAACCCAGCTGTATTGAACAGATCACTCTCAAACTACTGCATTGGAGTTTTCTTGCTGCGAGAAAAATATGTGTTTATACCCTGAATAAATCAGGCTATAGATTTTCATGGTTTTCAAAAATGGTTTTGTTAGTTTGACTGAAAACTAAATATCATTGAGCTTGAGTCAGTTCTTTCATTTTTCTTTGTAAAAGAATATGAAAAAGTCTGTACTGTAACTTCTCAGTTTTTAATAAAATACAATTATTTTGCTTGCAGTTATCTTTTGAATTTGTTTTTGTATGGTTAAATGCCATTGATAAATGTCTAAGTTGAAAATGGCACCAGTATAATCTCATAATAAATAATATTGTCATTCTTTATGGTTGATTCTTTGTCATGTTGGAAGTTGATGTCAAATATCTCTTAAGATTTCAGAGCAGAAGTTGACTAAGAAGGAGAGGACACCCTCAGAACTGTGATCTGAAATTCCTGTGGTGACTGCAGGGTTAGCATTCGTGATTTAATTTATCATTGTCTTAATTTCTATACATAGATCTAGTTTCAATTTTTTGCAGACTGCTAACCAGTTTTCTGGCAGTTTTTGTTGAAGAGGCTGCTATTTCTCCATCGTATATTTTTAGCGCCTTTGTCAAAGACAAGTTGGTTATAGTTGTGTGGCTTCATATCTGGGTCCTCTATTCTGTTCCACTGGTCTGCATGTCTGTTTTTGTGCCAGTACCATGCTGTTTTTATTGTTACTGCTTTGTAATATAGTTTGAAGTCAGGTATCGTGATACCTCCAGCATTGTTCTTTTGACTGAGTATTGCCTTGGCTATTTGTGGCCTCTTGTGTTTCCATATAAATTTAACGGTAGATTTTTCAATCTCTTTAATGAATGTCATTGGAATTTTGATGGGAATTGCATTAAACATGTAGATTACTTTTGGTAGTATGGACATTTTTACTATGTTGATTCTACCAATCCATGAGCATGGGCGATCTCTCCACTTTCTATAGTCTTCCTCAATCTCTTTCTTCAGAAGTGTA